ATTATTTTACCCTTCCTAATTATTAAATATTAATAATTTAATATGTTATAGATACTATAATTATATCAAATTATTAGTACTCTACCAACTTCACACTAGGCCGTTTTACTAGTTTTTACAATTTACTCAAAACCTAAAGATTAAAGTAAGGGGTTCACAATTTTAGCTATTTGATTTTAGTTTTAGTTTTAGTCTTGTTGGATTAGTTTGTAATTGTAGATTGTCGCATTTGCAAATTTGTAAATGTCCGTAATTTGATTTACATAAAAATTTCATACTATATTTTGGTGATAACATGTAATTATAACCTTCGTACTATATTTTCTCTTATTGATGTAATTGCTCATTATCTTTCTTATTTCACTATATCAAAGCATTTAGAGAAGTAATAAGACACATAATATTTTACAAATATCTTTTTACTGGATAAATCAAAATATCGAATCGATAATGATCAAAAATCGATAAATCAAAAACTGATAAAGAATATCTTATTGGTTTGTTATGGGGTTCGCATATTTAAAAATTGAAAACCAATAAACTGAATCGATAATACATAAAACCAAATCGACTGATGCACACCCCTAGTAATAGGTTATGGTAATGATTGTAATTGATGGCTAATGTTGATGATTGATTTTGGAATTAACGGTAGTTGTGATTAGGGTCAGACCTACTTGGTTGCAAGTGGGTTCATATGAACTCATTTTGTCGATAAAAACATTGTATACACACTTGTCTTTTTGAAATAAAGCCTATATACAATTTATTTGACTCCACTTAAAAAAAAGTAACACATAGCCCAACAGTAAAGCGGGTTCAATTTGATTGACGTATTGTGGGTTTGATTCCCACTTCCAACATTCAATACTACTTCAATTTTTTATATGTTGAACCCACTTGATAAATTTTCTGGGTCCACCATTGTGGATAGAAGGAAGTGATGATTGACTTAGTGGTTGTAGTTATGGAGGTCATAGTGATTTGTCACATCACCTATTCTCCTCCTACAATTGAAGCATATATATATATATATATATATATGAAAAATATTCATCATCATTGTATTATATTCCTCTATTCTTGAAATTATATTAATATATCTATGAGCACCAAAAACCTTTTCTCCTACTATAATTGAAGCAACCATGGCTTACCATCACTAAGAAATTATTGTCTTCGAGAAATACTTTTTCACCATATAAATGGTGGTCACATTATTGATTAACAAAATAAATTCAAAAGGTTCAGCCCAAAATGGGCATTCACCAACAAACAAGAAAAATAAAAGAAAAGAAATTCAAACAACCAAAAAAGGAATCAAATTAGGGCAAAATAAATATAAAAGCTACAAATGTGTTCTTCCCTTTTTGATTGGGGAAACAGAACACTTCCCTTGACGAATTACAAATGTTGATCTTCATTCTCCACAGCGACGAAGCATAGAAAACATCAATTATGTAGCTCAACTATCGATGTAAAAAATTTCATCATAGGCGACCTTAAATCTCTTACACTTGTGTCGTGACATATGACCCAACGAAAACATTCCTTGTCAATCTCATTGCCAACCAAAGACTATGTAGCAAGTAGCTTCCATCATTTTCGCGTAGAACTTTTTTAATCAAGATATTTACTATGTCACTTTTGATAGAATGATATTCTGAAGATGTTGATAACACACATCAAAAGTTGCACAGTAACAATCAGATCTAAAAGTTTTGCAATTTTTTAGGTAAACACAATATACACCTTCTCAAGACAATTGAATTAGTATAGTTCCAAAGTCTTCAAGTAGTTATATCTAAAACTAGGGATTTATTGTTCATTTATGAGAATCAATTTTTGAACTTCTTGTGGTATTTGTTGCAATGAATTACAGCTTATAGTATCCACACAACAAGTAATAAAATCAGAAACTTTATTTCCTTTTCGTAGTACACAATGCATTGTACTAAGGTCTTTCGTCCTCCAAGACTTTACCCTGTCAATATTCATCCTTAAGTTCCAATGAGTATTTCATGTCCTCTCCACCATATTCAACAAAGCTAATAAATCTAACCCTATATTAGAGGAACAAAAATTGTGATGCAGATTGAGGTGGAGGAGAGTCCAAGTAAGGAGATGGAGGCTGTGAGAGTTGTACCTTAGTATTCCTTAGTGGTACTTAGTCGTTATAATAGTTATTTGTTTGTTGCTTTTTACTTTTTCCCTTAAGTTCTGTTATTTAAACTTTGGACCCCATATTATTAAAAAGGTCCCTATCAAGTCTTTTTACCTTTTCTGCAGAAATAGTACTACATGTTCCTTGTTCCTTAAGGAAGGAAATAGTGAATCATCTACTGTTAAGGTACTATATATGATAATGTTTTTGTTCATAACATTATCAATGAAATATCCTCTAGCCGTAATTATCTAGTTTCAGCTTAACTTTTTTTTTTACTTTTCATTTCCTAGTTACTGTTCCATTGCCCAATCTCAGGTCTTGTAGTCTGCATCATTTGGTATCAGAGCACTTTCTTGAGCTCTGTGGTATCTAACTATGACCTCTGATATAAATGAAACCAATTCTATGTTTGAATGGATGACAGTAGATATTACTAACCTCACTGTTAGACAAACTCAATAGGAAACCCAACATGAGAAGGCCTTTAGTGAGCTTAAATAATCTTTATTGGAGGTAAGGAGGTTTGATAGAGGAAAGAATGTTGAGGATAAAGATAGAGGTGGGGAGATTTACACTACCACTTAGAACCCAATGGCATAGGTACCTCCTTCTGCATAGAGACCAACTAAACGCCCTTATTCCTTAGCAAGATACCCTTTAGGGGTAAAATTTATGCTCCAAAATAGTGCTAGCATGGTTCAAAACTCTCACCCTTTTCCAACTTTCCAACCACCAAGAGAAGATGGTTCCATAGGACCATCTATGCAGACCAATCATCACCATGATGGAATAACCATGACAAGGATGAGAAATATGGAGTTCCCTTGTTTTAATGGCATTAACTTGAGAGATTGGTTGTGCAAAGTGGAGAATTTTTTTTTCTTGGATGAGATAGATTACACTAAAAGGGTTAAAGTGGCTTTCAATAATTTTGATGACATAGCCATTGAGTGGAATTTGGCTTACATTAGGAGTAGGAACCACTTCCCTCTTCAATCTTGGGAGGAATATGCAATGCATTGATGGATACACTTGCAGTTGAGTATGCAGATACCATGTCTGAGTTAAAACTGGTCAAATAGAATAGGGTGGTAGATGATTATCAAAAAGAATTTGACAGGATCATGACTAGGTTGGTTTTTTTCTAAAATATGCAATAAGTTCCTTTATCACTAGGTCGAAACCAGAGATAGAGTTCACTTTAAAGAACCATAGGCCTTATTCATCACCTCAAGTATACCAACTATCCAGAAACACTGAAGCCGAGGTGAATTCCCAACTAAGGCTGACTAAATCTTTTATGTACATTGGACGATCTAGCCAAAACAAGGGAGAAATGGTGGGGTAATAGCAAGGAATTCACTTATAAGAAGGAGTATCAACCCCCAAAAAGGGATCACTGTGTGAGCTTTAATAGAAGCAACACCAGGAAAATTACTCCAGCTTAGATGACTGAAAAAATATAGAAGGGCCTCTGCTTCTTTTGTGATGAAAAGTTTGCCGCTTGTCACAAATGCAATACTTCTAAACAGCTATACTTGCTGGAGGTATGTGATGAAGAAGAGCCGTGGAGGAACATGATTCAAATGTCCAAAAGGTACCTGAAGTGGAAGTAGAAGGAGTGGAGAAGTCTGAGATCTATATTCATGTATTTAATGGAATACCTAGATTTCACACACTTATGGTGGTGGGGTACAGTGAAAAACGACCCCTTAATATTCTCATAGATCCAGGTAGCACTCACAACTTCATTAATGAAGAAGTATCCAGACAGTTAAAGCTAGAGGTGTTGTTGGTCAAACTTCAGTCCATCAATGTTGGAGATGGAGGCAACAAATAGACTGCTAAGATGTGCAAGGACTTTCCTTGGATGATGCAAGGGACCACTTTTGTGGATAACTTCTTACGACTTCCCTTGAGATCTTGTGATATAATCTTAGGGTTGAAATTCCAAAAACTCACCTTGGGTTTTATTTACCAAGGCCAGAAGGTTCTGTTGTTGGTAAATAAGGAGACTACTAGGGTGGTTAATGCCAAGGAGTTGGATAAAATGACTCAAAATGGGGGGGGGGGGAATTTTCATGATTCGAGTCTTCACACAAAAGAATCAACAGTAAAAGAAGTTAGGAAAATACACCCTGGAATTTTAGCATTGTTTGAGGAGTTCCAGCTGTTGTTTGGTGACCCAAAACAGCATCCTCCTTCTAGATCCACTTTTGATCATAGGATTCCCTTGCAAAAGGATAGTAACCCAGTAAACAATAGACCTTACAGGTATTTCCCAAGGAAAAAGGACATCATTGAGCAACTAGTCCAAGAGATGCTTGAACAAGGCATAGTAAAACCAAGTTACATCCCTTATGTCTCACCTGTGGTGCTAGTGGAAAAGAAAGATGGTTCTTTGAGGTTGTGTCTGGAGTGCAGGACTTGAATAAGATAACCATCAAGGACAAGTTTCCTATTCCTATCATTGAGGAATCGTTGGATGAGTTGGGGAGTTCAAAGGTCTATACTAAGCTAGACTTAAGATTAGGTCACCACCATATAAGAATGGCCCCAGTATATGTGTGGATGAATGCCTTTAGGACACACTCAGGTCATTTTTAATACCTAGTGATGCCCTTTGGCCTCACAAATGCTCCCTTAAGCTTCACGGGAATCATGAACCATGTATTCAAGGACCATCTCAAAAATTCATCTTAGTTTTCCTTGATGACATCCTTGTCTATAGTCAGAACATGGAGAAGCATCAACACTTGAGAGTTCTCTTTACCTGTTCATCAAACAGCATCTCTAAATAAGGAAAAGAAAATGTTCTTTTGGAGCTACTAAGATGGAATACCTAGGACACTTCATTTATGCTGAAGGTGTGGCCACCAATCCTAAAAAGATTGTTGTTGTTTGGGAATGGCCAAATCCTAATATTGTGAAGGAGATGAGGGGATTCAAGATTTTTCAGAAGGTATGGTTGGATAACAAGCTCCTGGCTGATCTTTTTAGGAAAGAAGGGTTTATCTGGAATAACAAGGCAACAATGACTTTCAACCAGCTCAAGGAAGCTTTCATAAGTGCACTTGTACTCAACTTACCTAGCAACATTCTAAAGTTTGTAGTGATGATTGATGCATGTGACACCGGAATTGGGACATTCTTGATGCAAGAAGGGCACCCTCTAGCTTATCAAAGCTAGGGACTAGAACCTAGACACCAAAGCTTGTCTGTGAATGACAAGGAATTGCTAGCTCTGGTCCTGGCAGTAACCAAATGGTCCCAATACCTTCTAGGGAGACAATTTTTAGTAAGAACAGATTAGAAGCCCCTAAATTCTTACTGGATAAGAAGTTACACATCAGAAGTTACACACAGGTATTCAGATGAAATAGATAGCCAAGCTAATGCAATTTGACTTCCAGATTGAGTACAAGAAAGGAAAAGAAAATAAGGTTGCTGACTCTCTCTCTCCAGGGTGTCAAACATCACATCTATTCATATTTTCTATTATTCCTGTGCATACTAACCTTCTTCTATAGGATCAAATCCAGCTGGGAAAGGAATGAGAAGTTGAAGGAAGTCATCCAGGAGAAAATAGATCAAGGAGAGGGCCAAAAAGGGTTATTTTATTTCAACCAGCAGCTCAAAAGATATGGCAAGATAGTGCTAGTTATGTATGAGTAACTCAGGCAAGACATATTGCAGATTTGACATAATAGAACAAGTAGTGGCCATTTAGGAATGCTGAACACATACAGAAGAATATCTCAGCTATTCTACTGGAAGAATTTGATAGATGACATTAAATAGTATGTTAAGAGCTTTTCTGTATGCCAAAGGAGCAAGTATGATGTTGCAGCATCACCAGGTCTGATGCAGCCACTAGTCATTAGTACCTCAGTTTTGTCCAGCATTAGCATGGGCTTCATTGATGGCCTTCCAAAGTCAAAATGAAAAACCACCATCATAATAATAGTTGATAGGCTGAAAAAAAAGCAGTCACTTAATAGATTTAAGCCACCCTTATACAAATACTATTGTTGTTCAAGCCTTCTTAGATCAGGTCTTCAAACTTCATGGCACGCTTGAGAATATAGTGAGTGACAGGGACCCCATATTCATCAGCGGGTTTTGGCAACAGTTATTCTCATCACATGGAGCTACTTTGAGCTCTTCAACTGCTAACTGAAGAGTTAAATAGGTTTCTTGAAACCTACCTTACATGTTACCACAGTGACTGCCAAAAAGACTGGTCCCTATATTTGCCCATGGAAAAATGGTGGTACACACAAAATTCCACTTTCCATACAGACCACTCCATATGAACCATTATAGGGGCATCCCCCACCCATTCATTTGCCATACATCGCCGGTGACTCTATTGATGAAGAAGTATCATAAAGTCTGGTAACCAGGGAGTTCAAGATCCAGCTGCTCAAGTTTCACTTGCATGCAGCTCAACAAAGAATGTAATACTTAGCCAATAAGGGGAGAAGTGATAGGCAGTTATAGGTTAGAGACTAGGTTCATCTCAAACTACAACCCTATAGACAGACTACTGTGTCTAACCACATTCACTAAGCTATCATCCAAGTTTTATGGTCCTTATCAAGTGATTCAAAGGGTGGGGCATGTAGCTTACAACCTCCTCTTAACCCCCCCCCCCCTCTCAAGTAGCTATGAACCCACTTTTCATGTCTCTCATCTGATGATATGTCCTGAGGTTCCTGCTCAGTTCACTCACTGTCACGTTTGGAGCCTACATCCTGGACGTGGCCGGCACCCAAAACCATTGTTGGCCTTAAGTGAACCCTTTGCTTGGCTTACTTAACTCAGCGGAAGACTTAAATCAACTCAATTAAGAAATAAGAACATTCTTAAAATAAATACTTTAAATAGTTACCTTGGACAAAATGTCACTTAAGTCTCAATGTTAAAATATCTACCATATAAGATAAAAAGAGACTAAAAATTGAACTGTCTAACTATATATTTGTCTATGAAGCCTCTACTACTAACAAGATGAATGTTGGGAGAAAAAGCAACGACATTATATAAAAAAAGTACGAAAGAATAGACATATAAGAGTCCTCTCGAATGCAAGGAGGCTCACCACTAACTCTAGAGCTCAAAGTGGATCAACGAAGCGCTGCATGCTGATCCTGGTTACCTACGTCTGGATCATAAGACGATGCAGGAAAATAGGCATTAGTATATGGAATGTACGAGTATTCTAGTTGGAATGCTAAGCACAACTATAAAGCTTAAAAGAAGTAAGAATGAACTTACCTTGGATCAGCTCAGCTCATGAAATAACAACTTGCTATAAAGTAGTAAGGACACATGTGACATAAAGCAAGCTCGTAAAATAGTGTAAACACTTAGTTCATTACACAAAAAACAATAATAAACTCAACTTTACATATATATATGAAAGTAATACAATCTTTGTGGGAGATTCTCTAACCGGCAACCATCACTATGAGCTTAAGCGGTGGTAAAACATTTTACCTTACTTTTCCAAGGACCATCCTATACCTTGTCATCGGTATTGGATCTTACTTAACTTACTAGATCCACTATCTTAACTTACGTGGTCATCTGAAAAGTATGACACATTAATACTCATGATGGTTTTATGGTTTATATGGGGACTTGAGTTAATTATGAACTCTCATCCCCACATCGGTGCTCAATACTACTCCCAAAATATGCTTTAACTCATACTTTTAGAATTACTTCCTTTCTTTGAGTTGAGATAATTTTCCCAACACTTCAGCTTTACAAAAGCTCCTTTGGATTCAAAGTTCCTCTTTCTTGTTCAAAGCTCTTTTGGGAAGTCTTATCTCCCACTTAACTTAAATGTAAAAACATTTATAAACTTTCTAAGGTATACTTATTTCCCTTATATATTTTGAGAAATGAACTCAATTTTTTACTCTTTACTTAATTGAAACTTTTGATCTTGATCAACTCTTTTGGGAATACTTAATGCCCTTATACTTCTTTTGAAGAAAATATTTCACCTTTTACTCTTTCTTTAACTCGAAACTTGAGACTTAAAACGAAGTTAAAACGTTTAAATAAGAATCTTGGATGCTTTAAGAAACTTTACTTGAACTTACTTCATTGACTTAGACCTAACTCCTTGACTTCTTTGAGTTTGATCTTACTTTCCTTGAATTGGATTATGGACTCAAGGATCATGATCTCATGTTTATGGATGATTTCATGATGTTTAGATGTAATTTATAGTGTTGGAATCAACTAGGATTTGTAGGTACATCACTTAGGAACTCATGTGCAACGATCGGGGAGAAATGCAACGCTAGGTGACCCTTGCGCTCTGAGACGCTCGGGGCGCCAGAGCCTGACAGACAGTGGTTGTCCTAAGGCGTTGTAGCTGGTGTGGCGCGCCAGAGTTTTTCCTTAAGGGATCTTATAGGAGCGGCACACAGGGATTTTTATACGGGTTTTCCAACTTTTTGTCTCCGATTTTCATTTCTAAGCCTCTCAACTTCCACGGATCTTCCCCGAAACCCAATAGTTTAGTTTAACACCCCAGAATTATTTTCAAACTAAGACTTGAGTTGTTAATCGTAGAGAGTGATATGTCACTAAGGAATTAAATATTACTTAAGTCTTAAGGTCCATTCTCTATATTTAGCACCAAGAGTTCCAAAAAGAATTAAATTTGGAATAACAAAAATCTGATATTTTGAGAGTTCAGCTAAGTATGAGTTTTGGGTCAATTTCAAGCGCCCACAAATCCGAGTACAGGATAAGTTATGTATGCTACAAGATACCATTGGAAATATCTTTGAACTATCTTTCCAAATCCTTCAAGTTTGCTAATTTTCGAGAACAGATGAGTGAGATATGACATTTTGAAGTTAGGATGTCCAGTTAAGGAAAGTTAGCTGAAATAGTGAGTGGTATTTTGCTCCTTTTCTAACCCAGTCAGATTTAACTCTTTTTTAGTCATATTTTAAGGTTCTACTCCTTTTAGGTTCAGTTTTATAATCTAATAAACACCTAGGGCTTTAGTTGGGAGTTCAAGAAGAGGCAAGGATGAAAGCATTCAGCGACGTTCTTAAGTCTAGTTGCGGATTTTCTCCATGGGTCTAATACCTAAGAGGTATGTAAGATTTCATACTGTTGGATTAGTTCACCCACACGACAATCATGTCATTTTTCAGCGAAATTTCATTCTTATAGTTTAAAGATTTGAGTTCTTGATTAGTTCTTGAAAGGTATTCTTGAAATTTATTCTAAATTTTTCCGTGTTGGGGTTTTAATGATTCGTTGAGATGAAATTGAGTAATTTTAGTGTTTTTTGCAGTATATTAGAGTGTAAATAAGTTAATTAATCAAATCCAAGTGATTGGGGAAGAAACCGTTTGATTTTTGGCGATTTAGGTGAACAACGAGCAAAAGTGTTCGACAGAATTTTCTGGGTTGGGGCCTGGCGCCGCGCCATACAGAGCACCCCAAACCCATCTTTGTACTTTAGTGAATGGCGCTCCACGCCACCCATAACTCCACGATCATCTGCCAAATCCAAAAGTTGCCTCCGGTTTCTCCGTTTGAGTTCGTTTAAAGTGCACCTTCACTCCTTTTCGAGTATAACTAATCTAAGCTACTTCTAAACACCTAAAATCAGTCCTAACATGATAATAACCTTGAATTCATAATTCACATTCAAGGTAGAGTTCAGAGTTAAGTTTTGAGAATTCATTCAAACGTTCTAAGAAAGTCCTTTTGAAGAGTCTTCTACAATTTCTAGTAACTTGTTTCAAGACTCAAGTAAGTGAGCATGAGAGCGAGTAGAATGTATTCATGAGTCTACAGTATCACCTAGATCCTTTATATCATGAACAATAACTCTTGAATTCATAATTCACATTCAACAGAGAGTTAAGAGTAGAGTTCAAGAAAGCCTTTAAGTTTAATTCTGAATTCTTTGAGATCCACCATTGATTTATACTAAGTTTTGATAAAGTAAATAAAAGAATGAGAAAGTCATATATATTACTTCCATATAGTTACTTAGACCTTTGAGTCAAGTTGTTCATGCCCATAACTTCCGCATGAATTTCATAAATTGAGTATCATTTATAGGAGTAGTATCTCCATGTTCTAAATCTTGAGTATTGAGCTCCTTATTCCTTTTGAGATTATATTTCTAATTATGGGACT